CAAGACTTCAAAACAGACTTGAGGTTCCAGAGTGCAGCCATCGGTGCGCTGCAGGTATTGCTGGTGGCCTGCCGGGCCTTGGCGCTCGCGGCGCTGAGCGTGCTTCGCTGAGGGTTTCTAACGACATTTCTTCTTGTGCCCTTGAAACAGGAGGCCAGCGAAGCATATCTGGTGGGTCTCTTTGAAGATACAAACCTGTGCGCCATCCATGCCAAGAGAGTCACCATCATGCCCAAAGATATCCAGTTGGCTCGCAGGATACGGGGAGAGAGGGCTTAAGTGAAGGCTGTTTTTATGGTGTTTTGTAGTAAATTCTGTAAAATACTTTGGTTTTAATTTGTGACTTTTTTTGTAAGAAATTGTTTATAATATGTTGCATTTGTACTTAAGTCATTCCATCTTTCACTCAGGATGAATGCTAAAAGTGACTGTTCACATAAACCTCAGTGATGTGAGCCTTGTTGCTCAGGAGTGACAAGTTGCTAATATGCAGAAGGGATGGGTGATCTTTCTTGCTTCTCATGCATGTTTCTGTATGTTAATGACTTGTTGGGTAGCTAAACTTGTAAGGTACTAGAATTGATATAAATGTGTACAGGGTCCTTTTGCAATAAAACTGGTTATGACTTGATCCAAGTGTTTAACAATTGGGGCTGTTAGTCTGACCATACATCACTGTGATCAAATGTGGACTTTTTCAGAGGGTGGAACTACAAGTCTTAACCACAGTGTAACTTACAGTTTCCTAAAAACGTAAACCTGGCAGCTATAGAATACACTATGTGCATTTATAATAGCTATTTTATATATTGTAGTGTCAACATTTTTAAATTAAATGTTTTACATTCACATGTGAGGAGTGTTTGTCATTTGGTTTGAATGGGCTTGAAGACGCTTCCTCCTCCTGGCTCCACTAGGTTAGCAGTAGGTGTCTGTAAGCTGGGACTGCTGCTGTGGCAACTTGCTGTCTGTCAATAGAACAGAGCTTACCCTGGCCCCCTTGAGAGGTTTTTTTGGAGGCTTTTTGTAGCTTGACTCACTGCTGTTGGCCTGTGAGAGCAGAGCTTGAGCCTGTCACTGTGGGGTAGAGGAGGAATAGCCTGACTCGCTGGGCTGGGCAGCAGCCTTCTGCCTTTTGGGAGTGCTTTTGGGTGGTGATTTTTTTTTTTTAATATAAAAATTGCTTGTTTTAGTGTCAGCTGTTCAGGCACAACTCTAGCACTAAGCTGCTTTTTTTCTCCCTCCTCCTTTCCAGTAGATGCAGGGGAAGTTTATTTTGGTGGTGTGACTGGTTTGCCTGAAGCAAAACCACTGGCTCATCCCCTGAGCAGGGCTGAGGTGTGGGGCCTGTGCGGCTGCAGCCCACGAGTTTCTGTGGGCTCTGGCCCTGTGACTAAGTCCCAGTTAATGACTGGTAGCAGCCTGGGATGGCATGCAAGTGGAAAAGCTAATAATACAACCTGTTTGCAAACTGGAATGGGTGCTCAATAGGATTCTCATTTCCCATCTAAGCTTTTCTGGTGAAACAGGATTATACTCAAACCTCCACTTCAGAATAACTCGGGCTCTCTGCTGAGACAGGTCTGGCTTTCTCGCAGTGCCTCTGGGAGCAGCCTTACCTTGTTAGGTTGTGGTAGAGGAAAGCTGCTCAGACTACTCTGAAACACAGGTAATTAACATGTAAATGGAATTGCCAGCCTCTTAAAAACAGGCTGCACCAGTAAGGGTAGAGTTGGGGCAGAAACCCAGCACAGGGAGGTAGCTGAGCTAGCTCGTCTTGATTTATTTCAATGAAATTAGACATGCTGTGGCAGAAGGGGTGTTCCAGGAGGAAGAGGAGCAGTGGTTTGTACCAGAGAGTGGGCAGAACGTCAGCAGCAGCTGCCTGCGTGACTTTGGAGACCGGATGCCTTTACAGCACTTCCTTCCACCACGGCGGCCAGAAAGCAGCTTGAAAACCATCCTGGCTCCTGCTCGCGGGTGCTGCCGGACGGCTGCGGCGCAGGCCAGGGCTCTCCCTTATCACACAAACCACTCCGTGTGCTTAAATCCTGCAGCTGGAGGAACAGGCGCTCCTTACCAGGGGCTCTTGCACCACTTCCTCAAAGCCCTTTCCTACACCAAATGTGCTTGGAACAAACACAGCTCCCAGTTAATACCATCAGCATACCTGCCACAGAGCTGCTAAAAACATGTTCTAGAATGATCCAAGATTAGGTTTTAAACAAGTATTTTCTCACTGCAAAAAGACTTCCTTGCACCCAAATTGTAAACTCAATTGCTCTAAAGGCCGGGTTCAAAGTTAAGCGCTGCCTCCAGCTTTAGCTGATGCTCAGTGATCCCAGGTGGATCACCTGGGCAGGTCTGTCCCAGGGGGTACAGCATGTCGAGGGAACATCTGGCAGGGATGTGCCCTCAAGAAACCTGAGGGTCCTCGGTGGCCCCTGAGCCATGTAATTTGGGCTGCACCACACAGCTTGCATTTAGGCAAGTTGAAAAATCAGAATTCCGAGTGATGGGATTTATGAATGCTTGATTTGGGGCTGAACTACATACAGTAGCAGGCTGGGCTCCTGCAGGAAAAGTATGTTTTAAAATAACATCCCTCGAAAACAATGTTTCCTCCAAGTTCTTAGTGGAAACAATGAACCATCTGGGTATGCCTAGAAGCTGTTTCTTAAAATAAAATCATTGTCTAGCAGTCCTTAAAGGAAAAAAAAACAACAAAATACAACCACAACACAAAAGCAAAACCAACCAGAAAACTGTATCGAAGTATCTGTTCATCTTAGTAAGCTCAACAAAAAGAGATTAAGTTAGATCTTGCATGTGGTGGACCAGAATAGCAATTCTGGGTATTCCACAGTCTCACGGTGATGATATTTGAAGACACAAACCCTTCTCTTACCGATTCTCCTGATTTTTTTTCCTGCTCAGAACTCGATGCAAACACCAGGCAGTCGAACGTGCTCCTGTCAGGGCTCTCCGGGGAAGCGCTAAAAATGGAAACACGTACATTAGCCGGCAGAGAGAGCGGCTCTGAAAGCCCAGCCCTGGCTTGTAACTGCTCCAGAGACCCCGCGGCTGCTCTGCACGTCATTTGCTTATTTTCTGACCCCCATTCCTCTACAGCCCCCCTCCCAGGGCCCACAGGCAGCACTTACGCCACACAGAAGGCAAATAAATTGCTTCTGTCCACGCAGCGTCCCACGCAGGAGATGCTGGGGTAGGGGTAGCGGCACAGGAGCTGCACAGGGGACAGGAGGGAGACGGCGTTGGGGGCTGCAGTCAGTCCCTGTCCCCCCTGTCCCTGGTGTAAAGTGGCTCCACGACCAGCCGGGCTCCCCCCACCTCGAGATCGGCGGCCTCAGGAGTCACCCGGACCTTGGGTGTTGCTGTTTACCTTGGAAGAAGTCTTCTCCTGTACGAGGACTTCTGCTTCCTTCACGTCAAATAAAACCTCCTGGAGGGGGGATGGAGGGGGAAGAAGCCTCGATCATCACAGCATCTGAGCTCTATTTTAATAAGACACTTACAAGAGAGAGATTATGCAAAAGCAGAGGTGACGAAGCACAGTCAAGCACAGCTTTTTCAAGGCATTTTTCTCGGTGCTGCTCTTTTTTTCCACCACTCAGTGCTCTCACACTTGAATCTTGCTCAAGCGACAGTGACCCGAGCCCTAAAGCACCCCTGGAACCTGGCTCAGCCTCCCCACAAGTTTTCCAAGTGCTTTCCTGCAGGTGGTTATATTTTTTTTTTTGGTCCTTAATAGACTTTCCTACCCTGGCAGCAGAGATGCTTCTAAACAGAGAAAAAAAAACAAAACGACAAACCCACAGAGGTGAGGGGTGCCAAACACTCAGCCAGACCAAGCGAACCTGGAACCAGCAGGAAAAAAATATCCCTGGGCAGCAACCGTATTTCCCTGCAGTTTTCCTCACTAAGCCCTTCCCGGGATGCCCCCGGCCCCATCCCTCCCCCGCGCTGCCGAGGGCCTCTCCAGCACGGTGGGGATGGCTCGGCCCAGCACCTCTTTGCCACCGTACTGCAACAGAGCGGGAAGGAGGGAATAACCCAGGGGCACGTGAAAAGAAACCCAGAAGAGGCAGTTTACTCCCAGACAGGTCTCTGCCTGGTTGCCCCACCTGCCCAACGCCGGTCTGGCCCAGGTACCGCAGGTTGTAGAGCAGCCTGGGGAGAAAAGGGCTCGGGGGCATCAGAGCAAGGACTCCAGTGCATCCTC